CTAAACTGTTCTATTTCAGCATACAAAAGGAATAGCATATCAGCTGTTTATTGTTCCATCACCAAGCAAGAGGAGTTGCTCCAGGGTGCTATCTGGTATGTAAAGTGGACAACTTATCCAGAAGCTGCTCAGACATGTCACAAAGTCCTCTTTTGTCTCGCAGCAGGTTTTCTCCATTGGCTTCATATATTCATGTCTTTAGCCTTGCCTTGTACTTGCTGTTGTGAGCACAAAAGGTTTCTCCAAATTTTAAAACAACCCTTATAATCCTGGTCCTGGAATTGATTGAACACGCCAAGATTCAGGTTCCTCAGTCCAGGTGTTTCAGACAGAGATGTTAACAGACAATCAACTAATGTAATGAGTGACACACAATCTATGGCCTTTGCCCAGGTGAACTTAAAATTCAATCAGGTGAATCAATGATCTATGAAATATAAAAGGTTGGACTTTATTGATAGAATAAATTATTTACAATTGCATACTGTTTATCTTGTTACACAAATTCCCAATATTGTATCGAAAACATAGTTACAGTATGTCTGATATGTCAACAAAATAGAAACTACCATAACATTTGATATTATTGAAACCAAATACATGTACATGGACATTATATCATTTGGTTTTAATGACAGTCTAACAGCACGAATGTGCCCGAATGGCCTGTTATGATTAGAAATTAATGTTTCAAGTTTTATTTTTACTTGTACAGTGATATTTATAGATGATGGCAGACAGATGCAATATGATCAGGTAAACTGGTATATAGACTGACAAATGACCAGTTGTGAAAATAATTAAAATATCAATGAAAACGTCAAGAATACAAAGTCAATACTAAAAGTAGATGTTCTCCTGGAACATTAACTCTTGAGAGGCTTTGGTATGACATCTATAAATATCAACATAAACAACACATGAAACTACGGAATGTAAAAGTTGCATATATCTTGGACGGTTTAAATATTTCACACTGGTCATATCTATCTAGTCTTATACCAAATTAAACATCTAATCAGTGGCTTATTCCAATGATATAATTTTAACCTGTAATAAAAATAAGTGTGTTTAAAAGTTCAGCATAAGCAAAAAAGCAACATGGTGATTGGCATACAGAATGCATTAAAATTGATAATAAAAAGCCAAACATGTATCAAAATATTTCATTTGTTTAACAAAACTAACTTACACTTTGTATTTTCTTTGTACAAAGGAGGAGCTTCATGCAGAGTGGTCAACACATTCCAATGACAATCAACTGTCCCACAATGAGATTAAATAAGAAACATATCACAGTTGTGTCCAAAATTAATCTCTCTCCCCTACACTTTCACAGAAAGGTATGACCACCAAAACAGTCATCGAATCATTAAGACAGTTTTCCTAAACTGTCAACAGCTGGAATCTTGTCTTGTCTTTGAGAGCAGCACACAGACAAAATGTTCAGTGCTGAACTGAAGATTTAACTGTGGAATGTCGATGGTTGTGTGGTTTAGAGTGTATAAATAATATATTTTAACATATTTATAGAGGGCACGCACGCACGCACACACACACACAAAATAAAAGCTTCCACTGCTATTTCAGCTCAATTTCTCAATAAATTATAATCAACAATATAACATTACACATGTATATCGAGATTATCTTAAGGAAAGGAGACTATGTACTTTCCTCGCTTATTATTTACAAAATAAAATCCAAGACTCTGTAAAGTATTTGATAGGCATTTAGAAATAGGAAGAGCTTGAAGACATGAAACTCTTATTGATAACAACAATCTTCATTGTTTGAAAGATAATTAATAATCTTTGTACATTAATAATACCCTGTGTGAACATATCAAATTGTATGTACATATATCACATACACTTACTCAGTATTCACATGATGAAAGGGCAAGAATGGTTTCAAACAAGAAAATAGTTGTTAACCATATAACATTTCATGTCTTCAAGACTCTGTAGCTCACCTAAATTCTTCTAAATTATTATATTTGATCCGAAAGGTCTTAACATTAACATGAAAAACATGCATAAACATAAACATTTCTAAACAACAGATATCCTCACTGCATACTATAAAAATAGTGCCATGGCACTGTATCTCAACAAGATGTATTGTCATAAGTTTTCTAACTCAACAGCCACCTAAAAAAGAGATAAGTTCTTCTGGATGATAGTGAGGGCTACCTGACCAATATGAAACACAAAGTAGACACAATTTATGGATAACAAGTTCTTTATTTAAAGAAAAGGTGACACTTTGGTACAGATCCTTATACCGTTGTCAAGCAAGGTTGTAAGGATCTATACTGAAATGTTGCCTTCACAGTAAATAAAGAAGTTGTCATCTATAAATTGTCTACTTTGTCAACCTTGCTTGACAACGGTATAAGGATTTGTTCTCAAAACTTGGCCTTTACAGTAACTAAAGAGGTTGTTATCCATAAATTGTGTCTACATTATCATCCGCCAACTTCTAAGTATCGCCTATCAAACAATTGACTATGAAACACATAAGAACATTTCAATAATGCCTCTCAACCTGCAACATTTTCTTTTTGAAAAGAAACATATTTATATTGTTGATTCAATAACTTCAACCTTATGAACAAACACTTATGCTTCATCAAATGTGGGTCGATAGAAAAAGGTGAAAATTTGTTTTATCAAAATCTTCTGTGTCTTCAGAAGTTAAAAGCCTTTCATGATGCCTTGAAACTTGTCATAACCATTACCCTGCACATAAGTTCACCTACATCAATTTGGAGAGAGGATGTCTCATAGCCAGATGCATTTTGAGAGTTCAAGAGCATGGCCTAAATGCAATCTCAAACCAAGGTCAAAACTTAGAATCTGGATATATAGTCAACTCTTTACAATGTCAACAATACAGCCACTTTACAAACAAAAGTTGCTGCCAGAGTTGTTCACATATTTTCTGCATAAATACTAAACTGTCATCAAAAAGAGAAACATAATGCCACAGTTCAGCCTCCACAGTCTGGTTATTCAAGAGGAGAGGTCTAAAGCATGATCAAAACAAAGTCATAATATTTTTAAAAAAAACAACACCCCAGAACAAATACAATGATTGGGAAGAAAACTTATGGTCCATTTTGGGCAAGTATGGGCCATAAATGTCACTCTATGGGCCATTGATAAGTTCAATGAGCGATAACTTCAAAATCATCATGCACAACACCATCCACCTTCACCATGTTGATATGACCCTTGCTATAACTACTGTCTTTCTGTTTAATGAATGAAAACAAGTTTTGTTTGAAATTATCTGTTGCGTCTCGAGACACTTTCAATCTTTTTCGACAAGGTATTTCATCAACAAATATTGCTGTGCCAACTTACCAACTACTCTGCCAGTTCCAAATTGGCACCTCAATCACAAGGCATGTGGTGAAACTATACTCAACCGCAAAAGAAAAGCAAGTCACGTTTTTTGTTTGTGAAATACACAAAATAGCAATTTGTGATGAGAAATGTATACAAATGTAAAGTGATGCATTGAAGAAACTGTTCACTGTTTACATTATTCATTTTGAGTACATGGCAGGAACGCTGTCGTAACGTTTCGTTTGACGTTTTTTTGGATGTGCTGCACAAATAACATGCAAAAATGTGTGCATTTTCCCCCTTGTCCATCCTTTAAAAGCCACCATATAAAAAAACACCAAACATATCACACTCGACAGGAAAAATGATTCGATTAACTGAACTTAACTGAGTCCACACACGCTACTGATGGGCACGACTGACACTTGTTATTTTTCTGTTTGTGGGGTACACTGTTTTCGAAGGGATTTTTCAATAAACACAGATAGTTGTCATCAAACAAACAACACCCATCTGTCAACAAATGTTTTCTCTGTTATCATTTCTTAATATACTCAACAACAAAAGTTCCTGTGACACCAATATTTTAGTGTATTTTTCAAACAAGTAAAGTTTGTTTTTCAATATTGTAGTACATGTATGGAATCAAGGCACAGAAATGCAACTGTTACAGAAAAGCATGCATTCCATGCAGAAGTTGACTTTTATTCACTACCCAAGAATGGGTATAAAAATGTGCGTTAACAGGATTCCATATGCATTGTTTAGCATCGTGCTGACAACCCCCCCTCAGAAAAACAACAAAATTACACAATTATTCAACATTACGAAACGCCATACCTGTCCGAAAATGAGCATCTGAGAGCCATTGGTATGCTTGAAGCAGGATTGAGTCAATGTGATGTTGCAAGACAACTTAACGTCCACAAAAACACCATTTGGTGTTTATGCCAACGATGGCAACAGATGAATGCAGTCAGGGACCTCGGAGTGGCAGGGCACGAGTAAGCAATAATCGACAAGACAACTGGATTCGAACAACACTCCTACGAAATAGATTCCAGCCAGCAACAGTGACTGCAAGAAGCATCCCTTGCCTTCGACGAATATCTTCACAAACCATATGTCGTCGCCTCAGATGTGCAGGGATTGTCGCCAGAAGACCCGCCAGATGTCACATTTTGAGAGGAAACCACCGTCAAGCATGTCTGGTGCAGTGGTGCAGATGCTGGACGCTTTTCACCTCAGCCACAGTGATGGATGGATTCGAGTGTACCGACGTCGAGGTGAATGTTAAGTCAATCATTGTGTCATGGTTCGGGGCGGCAACGTAATGGTATGGGGTGGGATTACAGCAAGACAGAGGACCCGTTTGATAGTGGTAGAGGGAAATCTGGACAGCGCTACCCCGTCGAGATCATCGGCCCTGTTATTCTACCGTATTTGCGTTGTCATGGCCCAGGCATTATCTTTCAACATGACAACGTCCGGCCTCATATTGCTCAACTTGCTCAAGATTCTCTTCAACAAAACAACGTGAATGTCATCCCCTGGCTGGCTCGCTCTTCTGATCTCTCACCAATCGAGCACATGTGGGATGAGATGGATCGACACCTTCGACGTCAACCACGTGTTCCACAAACACTCCAGGAACTTCGAAACATGCTCCAGCTGATATGGACAGATATCACACAGGACTTTGTGCGAAGCCTGGTCCATTCCATGAGACGAAGATGTGTTGCTTGCATTGCAACCAGAGGTGGACACACACTCTATTGATTTGTGAATTTACATTTTGGCATGTTCATGTTTTTTTATGAAATCACGCATTTTCTGAAGTCAGTATGGCAAATTAAACCATTTGAACACTTACAGGAGTCTTTTATCTGTTGCAAACCAAAATTGTTTCAGATTTGGTAAAAAACATAACTTTGCAATAAATCTTATTCAATTTCACAGGAACTTTTGGTGTTCAGTATATCATCTTGCGTTTCTTTTGCGGTTGAGTATAGAATAGTTGTTATGTATGTTGGAACCATTTCAAACCATACGTACATGGAAAAAAATTATTAATGAGCACTGGCTATTGCCATTTCTTCCGTGTTAATTCTGAAAAATTCCATGCATAAATTTGATAGTACCAACAACGTTAAATTAATTTGTGTGAAACTATAAGCAAATGTGTTTATTTCTGTCCATGAAAACAGTTTTAGTCAATTTGGGAATCAGTTATAACAGATAAGAGGGAATCAAAGTAGCGGAAATAGGACTTTCCCACCTACTAACTGTACCAGTTATCACCATTATCTCAGCAGCATGTGCCACGTGATCACTCACACCTCTTTAAGGTATACAAATTACATTTTTTTTATTATCTCTGGTATCACATTCAAATATTTTATTCAATAAAATTTACAGAATTAATGAAAAAATAGCTAAATTATTTAGGTTTTGAAATCATATTTTTAGGAAGAATGACTAAACTAAATTTGCATCATCGATTTGTATTATTTTTGTATCGCGAGAATTTGATGCAGTACACCACCTACATGAATTTTCTGAAGTGATATCCGAGCAAGGTGCATTTTTCGTGTATTTTTCTAATATTTTCAAACAAGAGTGAGTTTTGCATCAATTTCTCTCATGTAATGAAAACAAAGTAAAACAGGGCGCGATCATGTGCGTGCTATAATGAGGGATTGGTGATAATTGGTCCTAAGCAATAACTGGTCACGAGCCAGAGATGGTAGGAAATCACAGATTCAATGGTTGTAATGATGAAAGAAAATTGTGATTTGAAAAGTCAAGGTAAAGAAAACTACTGTGCATGCAGGCCCTTAATTGTATTTTTCTTTATCTGCTCTTAGCAAAAACTACCGGTATGTGTGAATTGTGTAGGGTGAATGACTTCCCCAATCACAGCATATATATTGAATCCCACAACAAACTAAACAAACACCAAATTTCATTACATTTTGTACAAAAATGGCAGAGTAATGGCCATAAATATTTTTTTCTGCCATAGCTAAATATGAAATACACAAAATGTTTGTGAAAAGCCATAATGGGAATGATATGTGTACATGGGCAGAACAGAACATGAACATGACAAATTCAATATTTTTTTTACAATAACTAGAATACTTTAAAACATAGGTTTCTCAGAACCAAAAGGCCCAAAGAATTAAAATTTTGGTAGGACATGTAGCACGCAACTGGAATTTAATCACAACAGCTCAATTAGAATTAAGTTGGGTTGTTTCTTAAAACCATAGATTAACACGTAGGGTTTTCACAGACATTTTTCTAGTTCTGTAAACATTTTGCAATATTTTTAACTGCCTCACAGGTAGAAAATGTTATGTGAATATGATATTGATATGTTCAGTTGATTAGAAACATATTTTGAGGTGCTAACAGAATGATCAAGCAACAACTGACAAATACCCATGAAATAAGCTAACATTAACAATGTCAAGGAGAGCTAAGGCACAGTTAGCTGAAACTTTGGCCATTGCTGACTGGTGCAAAAATGAAACTTCATACATCTCTGCATTACCAAATGTAGTATGGGTACCACAAAGTATGCCAGAAGCTGTCTCCATGGTCACAAACCAACACATACTCATATCTCTTGTTACCAAAGAATGCAGTTTCTCCGGGAACACACAGGCCGACACTGGCTGATCCATTAAGGCTTGTAACACAAATCTAAACATATCCAATATGCCTCGTCTTATTTACTGTGTCAACTGTTGAACAGTTTCCCTTCTGCTGGGTGCATGACTGCATTGTATTGATCCAAGTAAAATGAAACTGGTATATAACCACTGTTTGAGGCCTGTAGCAGACAGCTTAAAGGCAAAACAATTCTCATCATAATTCCTATATACCCTGCTTTTCATAATACCTGTTGGTGGATGGCAGAACTAATGGTTCAATGATCACAAAATGTTTTGCGAATTAGGATTAAGCTCAAAGACCAACAGGTAGTCAGTGCTCTGATACGGGTATAATACTTGCAACATAAAGGACAAATCTATGTACATAGAAGTTTTAAAAAAAATATGTGACTTTCTTTATATCATTGTATACAAACATGAGCATGAGTGTATTAGCATTCTGTGAAGAATCTCCACTGCAACACCAGTGTTGGTGAAGCTAGCTAAAATATGCCCTCTATACATATTGTCTCACCATTCATTCCTTGCAAATGACAACTACCTATATTATTATAAGGAGTTTATGCCACACTGTACGAATTGTGCCATATTGACAGGAGATCATCTGTGCAGACATCTCCATTCATGGGGGTATAAAATAAGATAACATTGTCATGTTGAGTTGCAAATGCTTCTGATGCCACAAATCTCACATTTAGGGAACATGCAAGGTGTGCGTGTGTGTGTGTGTGTGTGTGTGTGTGTGTGTGTGTGTGTGTGTGTGTGTGTGTGTGTGTGTGTGTGTGTGTGTGTTTGCGTGCGTGCGTGTGCTCGCACATACAGCATGTATGTACCTTTAATGGACTGAAAACACAATGTAAACACAAAGTAAACACAATGATCACTGTTTTGTTATTTCTAGGAGTGATGGGTTTTTCTCAATGATGGTCAGGATGATCTTGTCAACATACTGCTTCAATCTCAAGTTGATTTCCTGCTCTCTCTTCAACCTCTCAAGTAGCTGAAATAAAAGAAATGAGAGTTAACAGCAACTGTGGCAGATTGGTAAGCCAGGAATTGTTTCTTTGGCTTCAGTTGCATGTTATTGTAGATCTATGTTCTTAAAGGTGTGATCATGCATGGTACAAAATTATGTATAACTTGATTTCCTGGAATGAGTGAGTGAATAAGTGAGTAGGGTTATACGCCACAATATTCTAGCAGTATCACAGCAGGGGACACCGAAAAATGGGCTTGACACATTGTACACATTGTACCCATGTGGGGAATCGAAACCCCGGGTCCTTGGCACGAAGCTTTAACCACTACGCTTCTTGCATGTCATTTGCCAGTTTTTCAAAAAATATCTCTTTAACTTACCATATGCTTTGTCATTATTCGTGAGTAATAACAGTACCAAGACAAGGTTAGAACAAAGTGAAAACAGTGCCATAACTAGGCTCAGACAGGGTTGGAACATGTGCAAAATGATACTACTGTATATGACCGTAGATAAGTCAAATTTTGAAGACCAGAAAAAAGATTCCGCAGAAAGAGGTGGGCCTATGTAATGGTTACACTTTGAGTAAAGTATTTTCTTGTTGGTAAAAAACCTACATTGTATCACTTTCATGCAAACGAACAAGGCCATAACGAAATTTGTCATTGAAAATGTGACATTTGCGATTAAATATCACTAGACATGATGATTTACCATTTTGATTGTATTTTTGGTTATGCTAGGCATTGTTTTATATGCAGGGATTAAGATTACAGTGTGTATTGTCTTGTAATCTAAGCCGGAAATAGCAATCAGCAGTACACACATATTCTCCCAATCTACCAGTGATTACATTAAAACATACCCAATAATATAATGGAAAAGAATTTTGATGCAAGAATCAGAAGAAATAGTATCTTAAACTACCTTTTACATTGAATAAAATATTCTGATATTGTGTTATTTAAATTGCAGACTTTACTTTATATCTTCAAAATAATAACAAGGGTTATATGGTAGCACTTTGTTGTATTGCCGGATACTTTTTCAGCATTGAGCAATTTGTCAAGTCAGCTTTGAGGTTTCGCACAATCTTGCTACTTCCATCGCAACAACAATTTGTTGCCATATAATAGTCAAACAAGAACAAATATGACTTTTAACAAGTCAAAGTATGGCAGTTATGATAAATGTATCCATTCTCTGTCAACTAAGGTTCATTTCAAGGTGTCAATAACGGAAATATGATCGTGGTTGCTGTAAATAACGGGTAAAACGGAAGTTTTAAGGATCAGAGGGACACGTGATTTTGCCAAACTTAATGTAAATATTATATTGAATGAATTAAAAAAAATAATAATATAATAGATTACAAAAATAAGTCCAGATATACAATGAACACTTTTTATTACTAGATAGTGTAACAGGATTAACTTGCAGATTCGTTGATATTCTATTTCCGATGACGGATCATGATGAGAAGATTAAGTTTTAGGCTGGTGGTCCGGTTTATCTACCACACATAACAGTTTGATACAGATTTCAAGGACCAAGTTAACACTTCGGCTTAACTATGAAATCAGCTTATCTAGGGTCATATACAGTAGGCTTAAATCAAGGTCCAAACAGTGCCATGACACAAAAGAATATAACTGTTCAATAACGAAATGGTGGAACAGAATTAAAGCTCATCTGGAAATGTATTCCACAGTTAACATGTCCAAAAAAACAGACACTTTACTAAAGTAGCTGTCAGTATTGCAATTCAATATTTTCTGCATAAATACTGAGGACAAAAATATAAGTTACATTAAATTTTAAACAAATGTAGGTGAGAAATGGACATAAGAAGTTTCTGTTTTCAGAAAGGTTGAAATTCCAATGTTAATCAAGGCATAAATTAATAATACCTTTTAAAAAAATTATGGAACATATAAGCCAGGTGAGCTAAAACAAGAGCCACAGCCTCTGTAGCTCTGTAGCTGGTTCAACTATTCCCTATCTGATAGATTTGGGCTGAAAACAAGAACATCCGGATTAATGAGTTACCACTGTATACCTTAAAGTTGGGACTGATAAAATGTGCTTTGAAGTATGGGATTATCAGTATTATAATTCAGCCAATCAACTGACCTTATAATATACAATAATTATGTAAATATGGCGGGCGGTATACAGATAGATATTAATATGCTGAACAAAAAATTTGGTTCAATATTTGGTTTGTATTTATAGGAGTTAGAGCTAATTAAAATCAACCAATTTTGTAACAGCGGACCTGATTAATATGTATAAATAGAACCAGATTCTATTTATCTTCTGGTACAGAAGCTCACCTTATTCAGTGATATACTGTATTTTCTTGTGAATAGTGCACACTTCCTTCCATGAATTTTTTTAGTAATTCTTGAAAAATCTAATACCTTTCTAATCATTAAGAATGAAGTTAAGTAACTATCTCCACGCTTATCATATGTCATGATTGTGTCAAGGTCACCTTGTAGGTCATTTATTTATGAAATGACATGTAAATAGTTCCAATTCCAGTTTCTGAAGAGAAGACATTAATGACAGATGACACAAATAGTTGGTTTTGATTTTGTTTTATTGTTGAGATTTTGATTATGACATTGTCAATGTATTTAGAAAATGGGGCAGGGGGTTTGGGTTGTTGAAAAAATAATAATCACCTGCCATAAAAAATTTTCTTTTGGAATTATTTTGGATCTCAACAATGAACCCAATTCAGTAGAATCAAATATATTAAAACAACACAATCTGAAAAACAAGTAATCAATATGCAAAGAGTAATACAATTTTAAAATTCTAAAATACCGGCTTTGGATTAGTTGACCATTTGGTCTATAGCTTTTAACGCAATTGTCTTGAACATTTTTTAAGTTGTGCTCCCTGAAATTACAGTCTTGCACCAAGGCCATGAATTTCAAGGGTCCTGCAGCCCCATACCCTTCCAACCATTCCAAATAGAGAAATTTGGAATATGTAAGGGTCCTCAACAAATGTTCTACAAATGTTCAACAATACTCAATTTGATTGGGAATTTCCCATAGTCATATAACTGTGTTCACAGTTGAACAATGTTGTCGAAGTTGTGAGCAGATTTCCTAATTAATGGATTGAAAATGGTAAGTAACCCTGTTTCAGTTGAAATTAATCAGAAGTAAAACATTTAGACACTTCCGTAAACATTCTTGTTGAAAAGTACTTGGCAAAGTACTAAAATTAGAGACATGTATCAGTCCCCAGAAATCACCTGAACAATTGCAAAGATGCCTTCTTTCCACACTCCACCCCAATCTTAAACTAAAACACTGAGTGATAAGAAATGTTTCATCACAATCTGTTATTTTGTTGTCAGCACGTTTTTGACAAGTCAAGAGTAATAGTAAAGCAAACTAAGATAACAGCAACTTATTATTACCAATTACTGACAGATCTTAAAAAGCAAAACTTCAAGAATGGCGAGACTGTTATGCATGACATCTGCCTGTATGGTCGGGACGAATAGAATTGAAAAAAATATTTGCAGGGCAGTGAGCCTTGATGAAACTACTAAAATCCTAGATATTTTTTTATATATTTGTATACTTATCCTGCATTACTCCTAAATCTTGACAGAGGGAAAGAGCTTGTGAGAGGTCTTGATGAAGAAGAAGTTGTTCCGACTGGTTGTGTGGCTAACCCTATCACACAGCTCTCATGTGACCCTGGAAGTGGGGACATCACTGAACATGAGCATTTCTGATTAATGCAATGTTTTTTATTCTTACCTGACGCTACACAGTGCTTTAGCTTCCCTTCCTTATACAAACAGACAGTACTGGAACGAAGAGACAGTTTAAACAGACTACAGTCCGTGCCTAGGTATCCACAAGTTATCCCCCTTTGCCCCCACTCCTCATATTCTTCACTGGATGACATCAGACGTAGAGGACACAGTGGCGCCAACGGTAAGGCGGAGGAGGAGGACTGAGTCTGGGTGGGCCTATAGGTGTAGCGTCAGGTAAGTATAAAAAACATTGCATTTAATCAGAAATGCTCATGTTTTCCCTTACCTGACGCTACACAGTGCTTTATTTGACTGATGGAAGGTGGGCTTACCATGAGAAGTGCCGGGTACACTGAAGAAGCACAACCAAAACCGTCCGGCAGGAAGCCCAGTAGGCGACAGCAAAGTAGCGGCTGCCAGGACGGCAGGCAAGGGTATAAGATGCAGGTCAAGCCCTCTCGGAACAGAATTGTGTCTGACAGTAGAGAGAACAATGTTTGACAGAGGGTAAAAGCATGGTATTCCATGTCCGGCTCAAAATGAGGGGGAAAAACGTGACCAAAACTTTACTGACATAACAGTACCCAGCAACCCAAGAGGAACAGCACAAGGGATGGTCCTACCTTAACAATAGGCGTCAGCAGGGCCAGTGGGCCCGCAGACAGCAATGTTCCTCGGAATCGGCACGGTCAATGGCATCAGGGTCGGTAAGATGCTGGGCCAGGAGAAGTGGACCAAAGCTATGCATACCCTCGACGTCCTCCACCGAAATGTTAAAAGATAATGGCTGGCGAAGACAGTAGTAGATGACCAGAAGCACCCCCCATGATGGATTGGATGGAGACGTTAGCACGGAGGGCCAGTGAATAAGACAGGGCACAGATCTCTTGGAGGCTGTTGGTGGTAAGTCAGCACAACGATAAGCCCTCAGGATAGCAGAACGAAGCCAAAGGGAGACTGTATAACGAGAGATCTCTGCAGAGCCACGGCTGGAAAGAGAGATGAACAGCCTCTGGCGCTGCTTGCGATGTTGCTGAGACACCTGAAGATAACGTCAGAGGGCCCGAACTGGGCAGGGGGTGAGCTCCAGGTCATCATCTAGGGCAACGATATCCGAAAGAGACAGAACGTGAAACTGCCGACCGGGTCGAACCGGACACTGGAACGATGTGCCTGGACAAGCAGAAGGCCTGGACTGTAACCGCCAGGGTCTGGATGCGGTTGTCTGGTG